ACACACACACACACACACACACACACACACACACAATCACTTATATAGAGCCATATATTTTACAAAGAGATTTTACTTGCATATATAATCTAGATTGATTTTTAACCATAATTCTGCTGGGAAGCCTAGGCAGTTCCCAGTTGATGAAACTGGGTATTTCACTTGCACAATGCCATATAGCTGGACAGTGGCAGAATGCAGATTCCCACCTCACAATAATCCTTTCAGGAAATACTTCCCTTCCAAATTTACCAAAAAGAGGTTCAGAGAAGTAAAGTCAATTTCCCAGGGTCACAGAGCTATTAAGTGTCAACGCTGAGACTGGAACCCAAGTGCCTCTGAATCCATGTCACCAGGCTATAATTATCCTTACATATGGACCAGGTTTTCTGACTTCGAAGATGCTTTTTTCCCCTTGGTCAACTCTGAGTCACTGGCTTTGAGGCAAAGATAAGGGAGAAGGCTGAGTACAGACTATGAGGCTCAGAGAGGGAATGAGGATGAGCTGTCCCTGTGCGGGCAACATTACCTGTGAAAAACCTACCTGGGCAACACCTATTTGGGTAATACCCACTAGGACAACACCTACCTGAACCAGCAGCTCCAGTCTCCTATCATCCAGGAGGTGCACCTGGCAGTGCCTGCCTTCTGTCATCTGCAGGGACAAGACAGGAAGAGCGGTGTCAGGGCCAGGGCTGGCAAGCAAACCCCTGGACTCACTGTATCACTTATTTTATATGAGATGTGCTCAGCCTAAAAATGGCTTTAGTTGAGTTAATCAACAGGCTTGGCCAGAAACAGATTTATTATATGGGAGTAACTTGGATTTAAAAAAAGAAAAGAACAAAGAGCATAAGCTAACCAATATATTGCAAAAATAATGCCCTTACCAGTTCAAGTAATGCATACAAAATTATTATATGAAAAGTGGGTCTCCATCCCAGAGGAAACTACAATATTTTTCCTGGAATTAATGTTTTGTTAAAAAAAAAAAAAAAAGCCACTGGGCACATTGGCTCATGCCTGCAATCCTAGCACTTTGGGAGGCTGAGGCAGGTGGATCACTTGAGGCCAGGAGTATGGGACCAGCCTGAACAACATAGTGAAACCCCATCTCTACTAAAAATACAAAAATTAGCCAGGCATGTGGTACGCACCTGTAATCCCAGCTACTCAGGAGGCTAAGGCCTGAGAATTTGCTTGAATTCAGGCAGCCGAGTTTGGAGCAAGTCGCGATCACGCCACTACACTACAACTTTGTGACACAGCGAGACTGTCTAAAAAAAACAGCCTTCGTTCAGGGGCACAGTGGCTCATGCCTGTAATCCCAACACTCTGGGGGGCCAAGCAGGTGTATTGCTTGAGGCCAGGGGTCTGAGATCAGCCTGGCCAACAAGGTGAAAGCCCCTCTCTACAACAAATACAAAAATTAGCCTGGTGTGGTGGCATGTGCCTATAGTCCCAGCTACTCAGGAGGCTGAGCTGGGAGAATCACTTCGGCCTGGGAGGTTGAGGCTGCAGTAATCTGAGATTGCATCACTGCACTCCAGCCTGGGTGACAGAGAAAGACCGTTTTCCAAAAAAAGAAAAAAAAAGCGCCTTTATTCATTGATGTGTTTAACGTCTCTCTGGGTATGGTGGTGTGCACCTATAGTCCCGACTACTCAAGAGGCTGAGGTGGGAGGATTGCTTGACGCCAGGAGTTCAAGGCTGTAGTGAGCCAAGATCACGCCTGTGAATAGCCACTGCACCCAAGCCTGTAGGCAACACAGACCTCATCTCTTAAAATAAAAATGAAAAGTCTTCATTTTGGAAACTTCCTCCTCCACTTTTAGTGTATCACCGCCACAGTTAAGAACAGTTAAGATACATAGTTAAGAACAGTTTGATATGTAAATATCCAATTATATTTAGTTTTTTATTATTCAGAATTGCAATACCGAAAAAATCTGTAAAATACCTAAACAGCGCATAGAATGCCAAGATACTCCTTGATTAACTCATGTTCCAAACCATTTTATCTGCAGAAATCACCATCCCGTTAGTTTGAGAAGAATCCTCACAGACCACTTGCATATGCATTTTCAGATATATATTTATATATTAAAAATTTTCATATTTTACTTTAGTACATATAATTATATTGAATACATGGTTTTGCAAATGAAGTACTCTTAATATTTCTATGTGAGTATAACCTTCCAGAAATTTGATATATATGTGTGTATATGTGTGTGTATCCATGTATGTGTGTGTGTATATATATATATATTTTTGTTGTTGCTTTTTTTTTTCAATTCAAGTAGGACTATGCTTCACTTGCTGTTTGCCTCTTGCTTTTTAAGTTCAGTATTTCTTAGTGGTCTTTCTGATATCAGCACATACAGATGGACCTCATTCTTTTTAAAGACTCTATCGTATCCTCTATAATTATTGTGTGGATACATGATAATTGAGTAAGAGAAACAGTTAGCTTGTTTCCAATTTTTGGATATCACAAGCAATGTCACCATGAACTTTGCCATCCAGCTTTGTCCACGGATGTGGAATTGCTAGGTTACTGTTGAAAAGCAGGGGCAGCGTTTTGTCTCTAAGCCGTTTTACAAAACTGTAAGACCTGGAAACTCAGATACATATAAACCAAATCGAAAAAGAAAATAGCCTCCATTACTGAATACCAACAACCTGTTCAGCATTGCACGAGGTGTTTTCTATATACTATCTCCGAGCAGCGCAGTTATCTTCTGGGATTAGTATTATTATCCCCATTTAACAGATAACAAATTGAGGCTCAGACTGGAATAAGCAACCTGTTTTCAATGTGAAAACACTAATTACTGAATGTATATTTTTGACTGAACTCTGCTCTAAGAGTCTAAAAACTAGCTTAGCTGGTTAGATCATGGTATTATGAAGATGCAGTCCGCAGGAACCACTGAGGTAGTGCTGAGAGGTAAGTGAGCAAGCTTGACTGTGCCCCATAGCCACAGCCTAGTTCCTTAATTTTGCAAAGTCAAGGTCAAATATATACCGTAGGTAGCCAGAGGAAAGGGAACAAATCTTTATTAGTTCTAGGCACTGAGCTGGGCACTTTACATGTAGTCTCTCAGTAAAGCTCTGCAAAAATGTGCAACATGGCAACATCCCCCTTTTATAGATAGGAAATTGAGGTACAGAGTTTATGGTAATTTACTCAAAGTTACCCGGGCAAGAAAACAGCCAAGTCAAGATTTGAATTAATGTCTAACTAAAGAAAAGAAAAGTCACCTTTTTTCTACTTTTCTATACCAGAGGAGGAAGTAATTAAGAGAGAACTAAATAAATGTATCAGTTTAAATCACTTTACTTCTTTAGTAAAACAACCTTCGAAAGCCAATCCTAGGTGTATACCCTGCAGAAAGTTATAAAATAATGCTCAAAAGATCACATAATATGAATCCATTAAGGAATATGTCATAACTCATAAAATATTTAAAGTTACTCTGTTGTCCCATAATCCAAATAAGTTTATTTACTGATTTTAAAAAATCAGGCTGGGCATGTTGACTCACACTGGTAATCTCAGTACTTTGGGAGGCCAAGGCAGGTGGATCACCTGAGGTCAGGAGTTAGAGACCAGCCTGGCTAACACGGTGAAACCTTGTCTCTACTAAAAATACAAAAAAATTAGCCAGGCATGGTGGCAGGTGCCTGTAATCCCAGCTACTTGGGAGGCCAAGGCAGGAGAATCCCTTGAACTTGGAAGGTGATGTTGCAATGAGCCGAGATCGTGCCACTGCACTCCAGACTGGGCAACAAGAGTGAAATTTCATCTCAAAAAAAAAAAAAATCATCTTTTTTCCCTTTCCATTTTGCTTTGGACCTCCCTCATATTAGTCAATATTCCTTTTATCAACACGTAATTTTATTCTAGACTATTCAACTGTCGATATCTTTCTGATGTGTCTAACCATTTCATGACAAATGTGGGCATTATGGCCAGGTTTTACTTGGTCCTGCCCCTTTGGCCTCAGTTGGCTGGGCAAGGGATAGACACCTGGCTCAAACTGGGCCAATCAGAACCTCAGTCCAGGAAATCTGGAATTGGATCCAAGAGTGTAAAAACTTGGTTGTTTATGGCAGCCATTGTTTGCGTGTGTATGGAGAAAGGGAAAGCCATCTGCAGAAAGAATGAGGAAGACAAGTAGCTAGAAGGAGGCAAGAGAGCTGGGTGTGGTGGCTCGTGCCTGTAATCCCAGCACTTTGAGAGGCCAAGGCAGGAGGATCACTTGAGGTTAGAAGTTCAAGACTGGCCTGGCCAACATTCAACCTTGTCTCTACTAAAAAAATATGAAAAGTAGCTGGGTGTGGTGGTATGTGTCTGTAATCCCAGCTACTTGGGAGGCTGAGGCAGGAGAATCACTTGAACCCAGAAGGCAGAGGTTGCAGTGAGCCAAGATCATGCCACTGCGCTCCAGCCTGGGTGACAGAGCAAGACTCCGTCTAAAAAAAAAAAAAAAAAAAAATGGAGGCAAGAGAAATCATGTGGCCTAAGAAGAAAAGCTTCAGAGAGTTATCAGGGTTCCTAATATGTTTTCCAGTCACGTATAGTCCTTTTCACTGATCTGGGTGAATATTTGTCCTTAAGTTTCATAAAACACCCTGTATTCCTTAAAAAAAATCCACTTTTTTTTCCCTCTTGTAAGCTAAGAGAGAGGATTCTGCTTCTTTTACTTATTTATTTTTGAGACAGAGTGTCACTCTGTAATGCAGGCTGGAATGCAGTGGCACGAACATGGCTCACTGCAGCCTTGACCTCCTGGGCTCAAGTGATCCTCCTGCCTCTACCTCCTGAGTAGCTAGGACTATGGGTACATGCCATCATGCCTGGCTAATTTTTATATTTCTGTAGAGACAGGATCTCACTATGTTGCTCAGGCTGGTTTGGAATTCTTGGGCTCAAGCAACCTGCCTGATTTGGACTTCAGAAGTGTTGGGATTACAGATGTGAGCCATAGTGCCCAGCTGGATTCTGCTTTTTGCGACTAAAAGCGTTTTCATAAGACACCACAGGTTTCTATGCCAAAACCAAAACAAAAGGGTTCCAAAGCATAGACTCTCCAAATGATGTCATTAATATGAGAAAGTAATCTACTTATAATCACTGAGGTTTCCGTTGATGACGACACAACAATCAAGAGAGGCTGACATCTGGGGAGGGGCATGTGATGAACGACTACACGGGGCAGGCTGGAGAGGAGAGAGCAGATGAAATAGAGAGAAAAACACCAGTTACTTGTCTGCGCAGCACACACGGTGTTCTGTATTCACTATGTTCTTTCCATTGTGGAAAGATGACTCTGCTGGTAAGTCAGGGGGCTGATTTGAAGGTCGCTAGCAACAGAAAGGCCTGCCCTTGTAACTTATTTCAATTGGAGGTTGAAAAGTGATGGATGCATTTGGTTCATCACAACAGTGCTTATGAATAAATATTAGTTGATAATATTAGAAATCAGGTAATGCCACATAATTAAAAACCAGATGACAGCTTCTTTTGACAAATGGTAAGACCTAAACATTCTGGGCTCAGTTTCCTCCATGGCAACATTTGGCCAGGGCAGGGCAGAGTATTTCTCTATTTGAATAAGGTTTGTGGTCTCTGGTTCACTCAAATGT